CAGACTTATTGAAAATAAAAAAATAAAAAAAATAAAAGGATAATAAAGAATATTGACAGCAACAACCAATATTAAAGTTGATGTCGCCGCTATCAACTAAGACAAAAAAAAAGAGTAACAACTTATCAATGAGAGAAAAATAAAGTGAATTCTATCACGTCAGTAGGATGGTTAATATTAATCCTAAAGATAAGAGTATATTTAAGAAAATAATAAAATATTTTTGACCTAATCCGACCAATAAATGTATTCCCATTATTTGAAAATTTATAAAAAATAATTTATCACGTCAAGGAAAAGAGAAAAGAAATAAAAAATTTACATACCTAATTTTTCTAAAAGAAATATATTAAAATTTTGAATTTTTGGATCCTGATTTATGGTCATTCCAAATAACGATGGTCCTACATCGACCAAAATCACATGATACCCAAAATTTATCCCTATTGACCTCAATGAATACCATCATACTCGTATAAAAAGTAAAAATCAAATTAGAAAAATCAGACGAAGGATGCTTGAAATACGAGATTTTGATTAGAGCATTTTCTTGAAAAAAGATGAGATTTTGATAAGAATATTCCTTTGAAGTGGATGAACACATCAAATTCGATTGTGTTGTCAATATATTAAGTTTTGGTGTTCGTGAAAATCGAATTAAAATATGATGAAAGAAATTGAAGTGAAGGGAATCAAGAGATTCTTTCTTCTGCCTCCTTGCTTCTTCTAAAACCTGTTTTTTTTAACAAGCAATGGAAAAGGGTTAGTGAAGAAGATAACAGATAATGAAAAAAAAAATGGAAGCTTTTTGTAAAAACATCATTTCTTTGGGGACCTGAAAGTAGTTTAACTGGAGATCAAAGCCATAGTCACTGAAGTGTTGAGGTTCAGGAATGTTGAAGATTAGGGACTTGTTTGACATTTTTCTTCTCGGGAAAATATCTCCTTTTTGCTCTATGGATATGAAAATTTGGGGACAAAAATGGTGTTTTGGGTAAGTTAATAAGAAAATGGAAGTGTGTTGGAATTTTGGGTGAGTACAAGGTGGAAATGGCCGTTGGAGAGTGGCAAAATCTTTGGATTTGGGATGTGCCTACTACTTATTTAAAATAAGAATTTATTTTATTTTTATGTATAATTGATTGGGTGGTAAAATATTATTATTATTTCTTGAGATCCTCGGTTTAATCACCAGGAATATCGAAGGTACGAGGTTTTAGTGTTAAAAGGATGAGAATTTATATTTGACCATATACTATTTTGTAATTACCTCAAGTTTATACGTCAGTTAATTGTATTATACATCCTCAAATTATGATTATCTTTATAAATTAGTCTCTAAATTTTTAAATATTCCAATTTTATCCTTAAACTATGACTATCATTCTATCTATTCCTCATTTTAATCCCTAAATCAACATTTCAATTTCATCCCAAATTATATATATATACTAATCACATTCCATGTTAATAAAATCGTTATGTCAAGTTATATTATTATATGTTTGGAAAAAATAAAGTTTAGGTTAGACTATGGTTAAAACTAATTCCATATTTGGATGAATTTAAGGATGAAATTATAATATTTAAAAGTTTGGGATCAATTTAGAATGAGGATCATAGTTTGAGGATAAAATTAGAATATTTAAAATTTTAAGGACTAATTAAGAATTCATAGTTTGAGAATGAAATTATAATATTTCAAAGTTTAAGGATTAATTTTAAAATGAATATCATAATTTGCTCTATATATTTGAAAATTTTAACTTAATGGTATAAAACCCTCAAACTTAATTTATAAGGGCTCAAATCATTCTAACAATAATTTTTTAATTTAATGGTAAAAACGATGGAATGAGAATCCCTGCTAATTTGGTTCCCGCCGACGACAACGGCAACAACGGTAGTAGCTACGCTTTGAGCGGCAAAATCATGCTCGGCGCCATCGTCGTCTTGTTCTTCGTGGTGGTACTCATGTTTGCTCTCCATATCTACGCCCGCTGGTACCTTATCCGCGCTCGCCGCCGAAATTCCCGCAACCGCCGCCGTCGCCGATCTCAACTTGTCTTCTACGTCGACAACGACGCGACTCCCCCCACATCACGCGGCCTCGATGCGCGTGTTCTTAAGTCGCTTCCCGTCTTCACCTACTCCTCTGAAACACATCCGAGTTCCGTCCTTGAATGCGCCGTTTGCCTTTCGGAATTCGAGGAGGATGAATCGGGTCGGGTTTTGCCCAAATGTAACCACAGCTTTCACTCGGAGTGTATCGACATGTGGTTTCGCTTTCACTCCACGTGTCCTCTTTGTCGGGCGGGGAATCCGGATCGAATCTAAGATCCGACTTCTGTACCACGTGTCAGCACGAGGATGGTCAGCCCGTCTCGTCGGCAGTGAGGTTAGGGAGGAAGTTGTTGATTGAGGTCCCGATCGAGGGTTTCGTAGGTGAGTCCACTGGGTGTGACTCGTGGCCGAGTCAATCTTATAAATCACCTATGAGTCGCATGTTATCGTTTACGAGGATGCTGAGTAGAGACAGCAGAGGCAGTAGGACGAGTCCTTGTCCTTAACCGATAAACGCGACTGTATCTGAGTCGGATGTGGAGCGAGGTGTACACGACACTCGGCAAACCCAGAGCTGACTCAGTGAAACAAGTTTTTGGCTGATTTTTACTTTACCGAGACAGTCCACTCGGGCTGTGGGTTATCTGAAATTAAGGGAGAGTACACGTGGCAGATTTTGGGTTGTTGATGGTCGGGAATATTTGATTGTAAAATATTTTGTGTACGTGTATAGGTTTGATTCAATATTTCAGTTAATTTATATTTTTCTTTTGACTCTTCAATTTTATTTTTTATGTTAAAATTCCAACCATTCAATGGCTTTTGAATCTTATTAATACCAATTAATTAATTAATCGAGTAGTTAATAATATTCCTAAATAAAATTGTCATTTACAATTTCAATCGTTGTTCTTAATTTTGATCATCAACAAATTTATTTATTCTATCAACTGACTGACTATATTGAAAAATGCATGTAATATGAGGTAAGTTTCTGGTCGTTTTGTTTCGAAGGTGGGGGTTTATCACTTGATTTGTTCTCGCCAGTTAGAGCGTTCATATATATATATATATATATTTTGGTTTGGGTCTTTTGTGAATTTAGGAGCAGCGTTTTTTTTTTCTTCATGTTATGATTTGTCTTCTGATTACTGGTGTTGTTTCTCTATCTGAGATGTCTAAAGCGTTATGTTGATCTTATTAGTTTCGTGAGCAATGAAGAATGTACGGACTCGGTATGTTGAAGAAGTTGGTTCAGCGGCCGCTGTTCTCAATGAAGTTACTGTCGGGCTAGAGAAGATGCCAGAAAGTCAAATGATGTTACAAAAACACATCACAGAGTCTGCGGGGGGCTTCTTTTAGCTCGATGAATGCTCTATTTGACCATTGTGGTTGCTGAAAAGTCTTTTATTTAGGTTGTGGTTTCTCTATTTGATTCTCATCAAGGAAATACATATGTTGTCGTGCTCTCTTCCTCATGCAATGGTTCAGTGTTAAAATCTTTTGCGGGGTTGTCATTGATCGGTATAGGGATTGTGGCTTGGTGATAGTTGTGTTTAGGAGATTCTTTATTGTTGATCAGATCGTATGTCTATAATCTTAAGAGTGTTTAACGGTGTACTAGTTCTTTTGACAATATTCTTGATTGTGCCTAATTATGTGTACTATTTTCTTCTATATAGGATTAGGAGATTTTAAATGAGGCACACGAATAGACTTAGGTGTATGACTTAAATCCTTTTAATAAAATATATTGTTGAGTGAAAAAAATTCGACACGGTCTTATTCTTAAAAATTCTCAACCCACCTCAAATTCTTGCGTGTCTATGTTTCAAAGGAATCCGATCTTATAAGATTAAATTAAAACTATTTAATTTAGATCCTATGTCCATGATAATTTTTTATCTTGAATTTTATGAACGAAGAAAATAATTTAAACAAAATTTACTTATTTTTCATTGTAAAATTAAATATGACTTGATTATGAATATAATCGAAACACAATTTTACTATAAACATTATATAAACATGTTTTCCGATCTAAAGTCATTTTCTTCTGTTTATCAACGCGGTTTGCTGACACAGCTTATGTACTGAGGGTACTGATTATGAATATAATCGAAACACAATTTTACTATAAGCACGTTTGTCTCACATATGGTGTTAATGTTAAAAGTCTGTTGAAAAAGCTTGAACAAACCCTAATGTACTGAGGGTACTCGTTACAGTCGCACCTCTTAAAAATTTCAAATTTTATTGCACTTTAGATTTTTGTCTTTATATTTCCTATTGATTATCTAATTTTACACACCTTAAAATTTTATAATCGCATCCCTAAATTTTTAATATAACATTTTGACTTCACAGCCCTAATATAAATTTATGCATCTGTCTCTATCTACACCCAAGAAAATTCTCATTATAGGGCGGCTATTGCTTCACATTTAGCACAAAGAATACAGAATGATACAAAGAACTATTGGAACATCCACTTGAAGGAGAAGATAAAGAAGCTTCATCCATCTATGGAACTCCCCAAATGGCTTAGGGATTTTTAGAAAAGCTTGAATAAAACCCTAACTATTGGTTCAAGTTCAAGCACTGCAGCTGCAAATGCTTTAAGCATTTAGAAGATTTCTTAAACGATGTTGTGCTGAAAACGGAGCTGGTGATTTGATCTCGAATGAAGATTTTGAGCTGATTTATAACGCCAATTAATCTAGGGAAAAGCTGTTTAATAATTGATTGTAATGATAAGATATTACAATAAGTATTGCCTTATGCTAGTTTACAGGCCAGGGATCTAGTCGGGAGTGCAGGGAACTCCGGTATTTGGAATCCAGGTATTGGATTGGAGGAAGGCTCCAGGTGTAAAAGTCTTGGCCGTGTCAGTTTTAGATCCAGGTCCCCGGTTCCCCAACTCCACGAAGTAGCCTCTCCCATGCCGGGATGCATCGGAATGTAACCTTCCGGTGTGATGATGTAAGCGATATTGGACTGGATTATGATGACAGTCGCAAGTGGCTTCCATGGTCTGTTGAGGTATGCCTTTGTCAATACACATTTTCGTCATACTAAGATTCAAACTCCTAAAAATATGATAAAATTTTGTTAGGATTCAAACTCCTAAAAATATGATAGAGTTCTACTAAGATTTAAATTCCTAAAGATAGGATCCACAAGCACTATAAATAGCCATTGTAACTCACCATTGTAAGACATGATTTACACACAAAACATAGAGGAAAGCACGGGAAGATACAAAAGCAAAACTATTGTAAAGGATTCGAAAATGAAATAAAAGGTAGCATTTTCTTTTTTCTTTCTTTTGCATGTGCACGTTATTTTTCTTGAGATTTGGTTCGAATAACCCAAAACGTGGGTTGCGCCGATGACCAAAATGGGTGGGGTTTCGAAGTTTCGAACCTAGATCTACCCCGAGGCTTATTTTTAAAAACCGGTTTGATTTTCAGTTAAAGGAGGGGAAGAGCTTTTTAAAAATCTATATTAGTCCCTTTATTTATTATATGGATATTTTATTCATTTATTTTTATTATTCATGTTGTTATTATTATATGTATATATATATATATTAAATTATTTTCAATTTATTTTTTTACTATATTTTATTATTATTATATATATATATTTCTTTAATATTTTACTTATAAGTTTAATATTACTATATATATATTGTAATTATCTTTATCTAGTCGCATATATTTTTTATACTTTTAATAGTTTATTTATATACCTATTATTAAATATATATATTCTTAATTATTTTTATTTGATTATTTCTTTATTTATGTAATATATCTTATAACTTTATATATTTATATTATTTTTTTTATTTTTTTTTTTTTATTCATTATTATTATATTATTATTTAAAAAAAAAAAACTTGTGTCTTTATCATTATTATTATTAAACATTATATTATATACTACTAACCTAGAGGGCCCATTTTTTTGTCTTATTTCTTACTAAAACCCTCCACTTTCGGTGAATTGGGAGGGTAGCTTTTCTATTTTTAAGTATTTGGTGTATATATATAGCTTATTTATTTTATTAATACTTTGATATATATATATATATATATATATATATATATATATATTTATATTTTTTCCTTTTTTCAAATATTACTATATATAATTATTACTTTACTATTTTTTTCTTATCTTACTTATTTATTTTATTTATTTATTTTTCCCTTGTATCTTATTTGTTTTCTTTACCTTGTTTATCTAACACATTTCTCGATTTTTTTTAAAGGATATTTTCAAATCAATCAAGGGTAAGTAATTAGGATCGAAACTTTACCTTTTAATTTAACTTGTTATTTTTCTTAATTAAGACAACTGGAAATTACGTAGTACCGAAAGGGCGGTTCAAGGTGCTAATCCTTCCTTGACCGTAACCGACTCCCGAGCCCGACATATTTCTGGTAAGACGCAGATCATGTAAGAAATAGGGTATCCGATCAACCCATTTATTTTTAAATAAATGATCGGTGGCGACTCTAATCCATATTTTTCTAAGTTGAAGCCAAATTCCGGGGCCCAACCGAAAGACGGTTGCGACAGCTTGGCGACTCCGCTGGGGACGGTAAGTGAGTCAGGCTAAGGTAATTTCCAATTGTCTTTTTAACGAAAAGGGTAAGTTTAAATTTTAAGGTAATATTTCGATCCTTTTTACTTACTTTTGATTATTTTCGAGTAAATAGTTGGACTAATCGTTTTTTCATGATTTCAGCCTTCAAAGTTTTCTTTTTTTCATCTAAAGGCTCTATACCCGAGCTCCGAACCCGTTTTAAGTGGGGGTGAAAGCGACGCCTTCGTGTGAATTTATTCATCGTATGGGCCTAGCAAGTAACCTTCGGGATTCAAATACCTTATGCATTCGTGTGAATTTATTCTCCGTATGGGCATAAGGGAATGTGTCCTCTCGAGTTTAACTTAGTCCACACAAGCTTGTGATGGGTTTAGGACTAAGGGTCTGGTAAGCCCAAGGGGGCACCAGCAAGGAGAACTCGGGTACCTTTTTTTAGAACCTAAACCCGGAGACTACAAGGAGTTAGGGCCCACCCCAAGACCTCATTTCAAACCCTAGGATGCCGGAATTATTTCCTGCTTTACTTTCTGTTCAAAGCATGTGAACTAGAAATTTATGCGGTTAGGACTTGTTCAAAACCAACTTACGGGATGAAGATCATGTCCGGGTAGGAATAATAAGCATGAGGGGTAGATATCATGTGGGGTAGGATTTTTCATTTTTATTATTATTTTGATTTACCTCACTAACTCTTTTTGTTTTTGTTCTCTTTTATTTTGTTTTCATCACCTGCATCATTTAAAAGAGGTGTTGATCCACCAAAAATGTGTTTGTTAAACATAAATAATCTGAATTAATGGATAAAGGGGTTGTAATACAAGAGATAAAAATACAGAGGACAGTCTACAAGGCGACTATGTGTCATATTCAATCCTGAAGGTGTGGTGCCCACAATTGAGGAATATATCACTTTGCTGCTTTATAAAGGACTGAGAATGAATCGGGTCTGCATCAAGCACAATGAAAGACTATCTTGGAAAAACTGACTGTCAGAGGTTGCAGGGGCAAGATGAAGGTTACTAATCTTAGGAGTCCCTTCAGAGATAACAATTACAAAACAATAGCTTGAATTGGAGATCATTGCTGACGAATTCAAGGAACAAACTAATGACTTTACATATTTCCTATCAATCGAGGGCTCCAATGACGCATTCGTTGGGGACAGGCTCAACAAAAGATAGATGCTAGAGATGCAGTCATTCAAGACTTATTGGGCCAGTGCAAAACGTAACTCAACATTGGCACGACCCATCTAGAGAAGCCGGAGTGGTTCGACATGTTATTCAACCAGTGACATACGAATACAGAAGACTAGTCAACATGTCAAAAGCTGTCAGAATATTTTTGTCTCTTAATAGATAAAACACTTTTGTCCCCAATGAGGATTATTCATAATAACAGGCACATTTTTTGGATCAATGCCTCGGATATTTCATGTATCATGCATTTAGACATATTCTGCATTTCGTTATTTTCTTTGCATTCACATCAACTAACGGAAGAATGTCTCAATGAAGGAATAAATACTGGATACACCGCCTCAAGCGTTAGACACACCTCATCCGCATAACACCTGCTTGAAAAAGTAAAAAACAAATGGAGGCCAGAATGGCTCAAATCGAGGAGAACATGGAAAAATTACAGAAAGAACTTGAAGATAAGATAAACCAGATTAGTCTGAGTACTCTGAATACAATCATGAAGAACCAGGAATCTTTGGTTGATCAGATCGTTGCCAAGTTAGTTGGCCTACAACAGACCAGTGCACTTGGGGCAGGTTCACCGGAAGGGGTAACTATACCACCTACCCCACAAGGTGTTGTCTCACCTGAAATCTTACCCGGATTACAAGAGGACTCATATGCTATCAAGGGGAAAGCTATATCTGGTGCAAATATACAAGCTTCCGCGACCAACACTCATCCGGAAGACTATCATGTCCCGGATTTTGACGAGGAGGATAAGGAAAAGAAGATGGAAAAGAAGATCAAGATGTTAGAAGATCAAATGAAGATGGTCCAAGGGGACCATGATTGTTATGGAGTAGATGCAATGGAGCTGAGCCTGGTTCCAGATTTGGTGCTTCCACCAAAGTTTAAAGTTCCTGAGTTTGAGAAGTTCGACGGAACAGCTGCCCTTCAACCCATATCACTATGTTCTGTCGGAAGATGACATGATATGTAGGGAATGACCAACTCCTGGTCCACTGCTTCCAGGAGAACATATCCGGTTCAGCTATCCGGTGGTACAACCAGCTCAGCCGAACTCATATCAAGACATGGAAAGACTTAGCCAAGTCTTTCTTGGAACAATACAAGCATATCAACGATATGAGACCAGACCGAGTTATGCTACAAAACCTGGAGAAAAAGCACAATGAAAAGTTTCCGATAATACGCGCAGCGTTAGAGGGATTTGTCTGTCCAAGTTCATCCACCCTTGGATGAAAATGAAACTAAAAAGCTGTTTTTACAGACCCTGAAGGCACCTTACTTCGGGCACCTGGTGGCAATTACATCGGGAACTTTCTCAGATCTAGTTATGGCTGGTGAGATGATCGAGCTAGCTATAAAACAAGGAAAAATTGAGGGAGATATCAACAATGTTAGTACCTACAACGCCAACAAAGGTGTTACGGTCTCAAGTCTAAAAACTGTTGCAGTTGTACCGTCTAGTACTTCTAAACAAACTCAGAGAGGGCCAAGGAAAGAAAAGATTTGCATCAGTCCAATCCCAATGACATATGAGGAGTTACTCCCAACGCTAGTTGAAAAAATCTTGTGACTCTAGTTCAATCCAAACCTAGAGAGGCCCCATATCCTGAAGGTCATGATATTAACGCCGTATGCAGCTATCATATTGGGAGCTCAGGGCACACCACTGAGAATTGTGGGGCATTGAAACGTAAGGTCCAAGATCTGATCGATTCAGGGGCATTCACTTTCAATATGTAATGGGGCATTCTGATCGAGAGTCATATGGGGCATCCATTAGGAATTTTGTTGCATTATCAAGTATATCATCTTGTTTGTACTTGTTTTTCTTTCGTACTTCTTATGCGTGAACATTTTTAAGTCACTTGACGTTTAAACATTTTAAATAAAATGCTTCATTCTTAGGAGATGAGCAAATTTTAATCTTGAATTGCTTGAATATCACCTCAATTAAAAACTGTTTAATAATTAAGGTTGTAAATCTTTGACAAATGACAAGATTGAACCCTGCAAAACAAAGACCCCTTGGTCCTAATTTAAAAGATACATCAGACTACATATTTTTCTCTTACCGAGCTAAGTTTTCTCTTCTCATGAAGAGTCCATCCAAGGTTTGGTATTCAGACGCGTATTAAGAGCGAACATAATAGGGCAACTAGCACATGAGATTGCAAAACTAATTTGTTTATACCCTTGTTTATGATGTTCAGGGATGATAATGATCTTCACAGATGGAATAGTCGAGTAAGCAAATCTAGTTTAGGTCAGTTGTTTAGAAATTGAACTCTAAAGATGAGATCCCTTGACTTTCAAAAACACCTAGACTATAACAGGTTCTTCTTGACAATCTTAAGAAATTAAATCCGTAAAGCTGAGCTATTCCACTAAGGCAATTGGTTATAGAGGAAACTCGAAAGCCCTGGCTTTATGAATAGATTATGTTCAAACTATGACACTGCTCGGACACTTGGCAATTCGGTGTTTGCTCCACTGCTTTTGTCAGGCCAAAGACTTTGTGATGAGATGAACCCTTCAATGATTTGTCCCTCTAAAGCTGAGCTATTCCACTAAGGCAATTGGTTATAGAGGAAACTCGAAAGCCCTGGCTTTATGAATAGATTACATTCAAATCATGACATTGCTCGGACACTTGGCAATTCGGTGTTTGCTCCACTGCTTTTGTCAGGTCAAAGACTTTGTGATGAGATGAACCCTTCAGTTAAACCTGATAAAAGTGATTATAAGCTGTCCCTATAAAGCAATTGGTTAAACGCCCCAACTTTATGGATTCGGCTAGCCAGACAATGGCAAAATAAATCAAATTCATCTAAAAAGAAATTTTCGGTAATAATAGACTAAGGGAGTTGAGAAACACCTGTTATAGTCAAATTCACATGAGCACTCAAGAATTTCATTTTTTAGACCGATATTTCTGCATTACCTTTATTAGAAGAGCTTATGAAACTTGAACAAATGGAAGATTTCAGAGAACTGAAACAGAAGTGTTCTGAAAGGTCTAGTCATTGATTATGCTAGTTGTGTCATTTTGTTCGCCTCTGATCAAAATACCAAATCAAGAAAGAGGGGCATGCCATGATCTTCATGATAACCAAATCGATGAAACAAACCCACCTCTAGACCAACTTTTCGATCTTGATATTTGTCAAAGATTTGCAGCTATCAAAGATTAAAAGAGTGTTTGACTCTTTTGATATCCAATGAACTCATGTTTTATGATTTGCTTCAATTGTGAAACCTAGAAAGAGGTAACTTTTTCAAAAGTTCTTTTTGATATTTTTCAAAATTTTGAAAATTCGAAAGAAGAAAAGCATTTTCAAACAAGATAAGTTCTCTGGAAGCATATCTTGGAATTCAACAAATATCGCTCCGAAGCTCAAGATCGAAACAGAGGCAAAGGAAACCATCTTTGGGGCAAAATTTGATAAGGGAAGAAAAAATTGTCTTGAGGTCTGCAAGAGTACACCCTGGTGGAAATGAAGACAAATTAAGTCAGAATGAAGACTGCACACGCATCCATTCCCCTCACATCTCAACATATACATCAACACGTACATACATGACACATGAAATTTGCATATTTGAATTCATCATCATGAGCAATAAAAACCTTGATTTTTCCTCCCTTTAGGGCAAATTCAACAGCAAATAAATTTCATTTGGGCATACATCAAGCATAAATCATCAGGATAGTTACATCCATATACATTTTACAGATCTTTTAGGAGAAGATGAGATTAAAAGCCAACTCGATAGATTGAAATATCGACATTCATCTCCAGATTCAACATTTCCAATATAAACTTTGTCTCACTTAAGACAGTCTCATTTAATGCAGATGATTATCTCACTCAAATTTGTTTTTCTTAAAACATACTTTGTCTCACTTGAGACTGTTTTCTCGAAAGAAGATTTATTTCACTCAAGATTGTTTTTCTTAAAACAAGATTTGTCTCGCTTGAGACCGTTTTCACTCGAAAGAAGACATTTCATTTCACTCAAGGCTGTTTTTTTAAGAAGATTTTATCTTGCTTGAGATAGTTTCCCTCGAAACAGAAATTTTTTCTCCCTTGAGACAGTTTCTCTTGAAAACATTTCCCTTGAAATTAATTTTTTCTCTCCTGAGATAGTTTACCTCAAAACAGAAAATTTTGTCTCCCTTGAGACAGTTTCTCTTGAAACATAAACATTGAAAACATTTCCCTTGAAATGATTTTTTTTCTCTCTTGAGATAGTTTCCCTCGAAACGGAAAATTTTGTCTCCCTTGAGACAGTTTCTCTTGAAACATAAACATTGAAAACATTTTCCTTGAATTGAATTTTATCTCGCTTGAGATAGTTTCCCTTGAAACAATTTTGTCTCCCTTGAGACAGTTTCTCTCCAAACATAAACTTTGAAAACAATTTAACGAAATCTTTGAATATGTTTTCCTTCAAACAAATTTTGTCTCCCTTGAGACAGTTTCTCTTGAAATGACACAATTTGCTCGAGAATAGATTTCAACTTCACGACGAAGGATGTCTAGCTCGAAGCCAAACATCCGCGATTTCAACTCCACAACGGAGGATATTGTGACACTCGAGACAACACAAGTTCAACTTCACAACGAAGGGATGACTGGTTGTCAACAAACAACTTCTCAATTTCAGAGCCAATTTCAACTTCACAACGAAGGATATTGGACTTCAGACAACGCAAGTTCAACTTCACGACGAAGGGACCACTGCTTGTCAATAACTTCTCAATTTCAGAGCCAATTTCAACTTCACAACAAAGGATATTGGACTTCAGACAACGTAAGTTCAACTTCACGACGAAAGGACTGCTGCTTGTCAACAACAACTTCCCAATCTCAGAGCCAATTTCAACTTCACAACGAAGGATATTGGACTCCAGACAACGCAAGTTCAACTTCATGACGAAGGGACCGCTGCTTGTCAACAACAACTTCCCAATCTCAGAGCCAATTTCAACTTCACAATGAAGGATATTGGACTCCAGACAACGCAAGTTCAACTCCACGACGAAGGGACCGCTGCTTGTCAACAAAATTTCATTCAGAGTCAATTTCAACTTCACAGTGAAGGATATTGGACTCGAGAGAACACAAGTTCAACTTCACAACGAAGGGACGGCTGGTTGTCAACAAACAATTTCCCGGTTTTAGAGCCAATTTCAATTTCACGACGGAGGATATTGGACTCGGAACAATGCTACTTACTTGGATTTCAACTTCACGACGAAGGATATCCAACTCAAAGAAGGATTATCTGCCATCAAAATTGTCGAGTTCGACTCCATTCAGCTCGATTACACATCAATCGCACTACTTTCCAGTTGCAGTCGGGGTTTTCAAGTCGAGAAGATGACCTGGGTTAGCCGTGTCTTAGTGACAAGCAACCATTTTCAAACAACATAGCTTAAGTCAAGAAAAAGCTATCTGTCAATGAAGATTTCTGAGTTCGATTCCGATCCAAGGTCTTTAAACCGAGTAGAAGACCGAAGGGTAACGGGAAGCCACGTGCTGATTCAAATTCCGAACTACGGCTTCAATTTCATATCATTTCAAGATGAACTCGACTTCACGATGGAGGAGTCATCCGTAACTCAATTCGACAGGGAGTTATTGAAACATCAGAGTTAATTTTCAACTCCACTGAACGAAAAGTGTGTCTTTTAATCTTTGCCCTATCCCCGTTACACGACTATGGGAAAAGAGGGGCAGCTGTCAACACACATTTTCGTCCTACTAGGATTCAAACTCCTAAAAATAGATAAAATTTTGCTAGGATTCAAACTCCTAAAAATAGGATAGAGTTCTACTAAGATTTAAATTCCTAAAGATAGGATCCACAAGCACTATAAATAGCCATTGTAACTCACCATTGTAAGACACGATTTACACACAAAACATAGAGGAAAGCACGGGAAGATACAAAGGCAAAACTATTGTAAAGGATTCGAAAAGGAAATAAAAGGTAGCATTTTCTTTTTTCTTTCTTTTGCATGTGCACGTTATTTTTCTTGAGATTTGGTTCGAATAACCCAAAACGTTGGTTGCGCCGATGACCAAAATGGGTGGGGTTTCGAAGTTTCGAACATAGATCTACCCCGAGGCTTATTTTTAAAAATCGGTTTGATTTTTGGTTAAAGGAGGGGAAGAGCTTTTTAAAAATCTATATTAGTCCCTTTATTTATTATATGGATATTTTATTCATTTATTTTTATTATTCATGTTGTTATTATTATATGTATATATACATATATATTAAATTATTTTCAATTTTTTTTACTATATTTTATTAGTATTATATATATATATTTCTTTAATATTTTACTTATAAGTCTAATATTACTATATATTGTAATTATCTTTATCTAGTCGTATATATTTTTTTATACTTTTAATAGTTTATTTATATACCTATTATTAAATATATATATTCTTAATTATTTTTATTTGATTATTTCTTTATTTATGTAATATATCTTATAACTTTATATATTTATATTATTTTTTATTATTTTCGTTTTTTTATTCATTATTATTATTATTATTACCTTGTGTCTTTTCATTATTATTATTAAACATTATATTATATACTACTTAGAGGGCCCATTTTTTTGTCTTATTTCTTACTAAAGCCCCCCACTTTCGGTGAATTAGGAGGGTAACTTTTCTATTTTTAAGTATTTGGTGTATATATACTTATTTATTTTATTAATACTTTGATATATATATATATATATATATATATATATATTATATTTTTTCCTTTTTTCAAATGTTACTATATATAATTATTACTTTACTATTTTTTTCTTATCTTACTTATTTATTTTATTTATTTTATTTTTCTCTTGTATCTTATTTGTTTTCTTTACTTTGTTTATCTAACACATTTTCGATTTTTTTAAATGATATTTTCAAATTAATCAAGGGTAAGTAATTAGGATCGAAACTTTACCTTTTAATTTAACTTGTTATTTTTCTTAATTAAGACAACTGGAAATTACGTAGTACCGAAAGGGCGGTTCAAGGGTGCTAATCCTTCCTTGACCGTAACCGACTCCAGAGCCCGACATATTTCTGGTAAGACGCAGATCAGGTAAGAAATAGGGTATCCGATCAACCCATTTATTTTTAAATAAATGATCGGTGGTGACTCCAATCCACATTTTTCTAAGTCGAAGCCTAATTCCGGAGTCCAACCGAAAGACGGTTGCGACAGCCTTGTTAACGTTCTTCACCGAAATGTAGTCCTTATCACCGGATATAGTGCAGTTGTGGAGCACGAAGCCGCCTCTTGATTTATCGAACTGTTTCCCCTGTGCAATCACCATGCAGTTTGTCTGGGACCTGGTATTCTCACGATCATCTGGCAGTTTTGGAACACCACCCTGGAGTCGCCGAAGATAAAGTCTATGGTGACGGTGATGACGCAGTCACGGAACTGCATTTCCTTTTGTGGGTATAAAGTGTCTTGATAACCGTTGAAGTGGTAATTGTAGAAGACACCTAGATCGTCGTAAGCTCTTAGGGCAACGACTTGTTCACCTTCGTATCCGGCGGCGTTCTCAATTCCGATGTCCTGGGCTATGATATTCATAGCATTGACGGCTACAGTTTCAGTGTGGAAAGTTGTGATTTTATTCCTTACAACGCTAATGTTATTGGTGATAATAGTCTTGGTCCACCCATCTCCGATGAACAGAACGTTGTTCGCACCCTTGGGGATATCAACCTTCTCGTTGTAAAGTCCGGCCTTGATGTAAATAACAAATCGTTCAGCATTCTTCTTTGGGACTTCAGCCAAGGCCTTGACGATGTTGTTGTATTTTCCACTCCGTCTTTAGCAACCACCACATTATGTTTAATATCGCTCGGTTTCGCCTGGAGGAGTCTCCGATCTTTTCAGCTCGTCCATTTGGGGAAATCACTTTCTTCATCCGACAAAAGCCTACGATGGAGCGAGGTGGTGATGTTACCGATGCTTGAGATTTTGTGGTCTTTAGTAATAGAGGCTATACAAGCCATCATGCCAAGGGCGTTCTTATTTAACTCTTGTGTCGTTTTCAATATATTCTTCATCTTCTAGGCGGCGTCACCGTCTTTTTCCGTGAACGAGTCTATACAAGTCTTCTGACCGGTGAGGGCGCCGCTCAGTCACACCTGGATGCGCAAGAGGATATCACTGATCTTGCTGATGTCTTACTCAGCGAGCTTGTTGAAGGAAGCTTCAAGGTCGTCAATGGCGTAATCCAATACCTCCTTGCAAACACTGAGAGCATCTTTTGTCCCTTTGTCCTTTTCCAAATCCTGGAGCGTCTTTGAAATCACCAACACCTTCTTTATCTCCATTATCGTCGACTGAAACCCAGTCCTTATAAGCTCCTTCGGGTCGCTCTAGTTGGACAATGCAAGGCTCTTTTCACACGTCTCTTTGAAATTGGCCTACAAACGGATTGCACCGTCTTACTAGAAGTCAACGTTTTCTCCGTCTCATCATTCGTATGGAGACCGATGGCAAAAAACACGGCCAGCACCGACGCCACTACCGCCACCAAAACAACAACGACAAAAAGAGCGTTATTCTCCATTCTTTAACAGCTTTTTTTTATCTATTTAAACCCCTAAGAAGAACAAGAAATAAAATTTCTTTTTCCTCCCTTCCTTTCCTAAACAAGAGTAGAAGAAGGAAGGAAAAAAGAAGATTTACTGCAGCTGCGTGGAGCTGCTTATTGAAGATTTTACTGTTGCTTGAATAATCTGCAATTCCAATGCCGTTTTTATTCTTGAAGGAAATCACTATTTTTAGTTAAGAACTCCATTTCTATGGTGCGAAGATCCCTGCGGAGGTGACAATCTGTTTATGGTTAGGGTTTTATGTATTTTGTCATAGCAAAAATACATACAGAATCAAAATAAGAAATAATCTATCATATAAAATATTTATATATTATCAACCAACCTCTCCAACCAAAAAATTAAAGAGGTCATTAAGCCATTTAAGTGACAGAGATATTATTGTTTTTTTTAAAAGTTTCGAGTTTGAGCAACTTCATTTAAAATTATGTGTTTACGCTTTGCTAATGATTAAGAAATTTTTTAAAAGATAATACATTATAATTACCTTAAACTATTAAGAAACCAATTAAAAAAAATTAAAACTACAATAATAGGTTTTCAGTAAAAAGATAAAGCAATATATCTAAGAAGTAAAAAAAATAAAATTAAGAAAAAAATGAATATTAATTAATATATAAAAAAACACCAAAGACATATATAATTTATTAAAATCTAGGGTAGTGTACACAAATGGTCTCCCAATTATAGGGTGCTGTTTTGTTTAGTCCCCCGATTATTAAAAATTAAGATGTTATTTTGTTGAGTCACAGATTATTAAAAGTTACAAAATAATCACTCAATTATTTATATGTTCCAAACTCGTTCTTTTTCATTTAAAAGTTAACGATCCATAAAATACAATTGAAACGGTTCTTAAATAATATTTTATCATATCTCAGTCAACAGGTTAACATCAAGCTCAGACGACTGTCAATTTTTTAATGAAAAAGGATGAGTTTGAAACATATTAATAGTCAGATGACAATTTTGTAACTTTTAATAAACAAATAACTCAACAAAACAATGCCCTATAATCAGTGGACCATTTCATAACTTTTAATATTCGACAAACTCAATAAAACAATACCTTATAGTCAGTGATCATTTATGTATTTTACCTCAAAATCTATAGGTTTATACGAAAGAAGTACAAAATTATTGTGAAGCTTTAAAATTTAAAAATATATAGTACACGTTATTTAATTAAATTTACTAATTATTTCATCAATTTATTTTCATGTTATCAAATGAAAAATTAGGTATTTAAATTTTTATTAGACATGATAAATAATTTTAATGAAAATATAATTAAAATTATGATATTACAAATCAAAACAATAGTTTTTTTAAAGACTAAACAATAGTTTACTTAAATATAATAGTAAGTAAATAATATTGAGATATGATCATAAATATTTACATTATATAGATATAATTACATCTAATACAAAATAAACTCAAATTCGAATTTGACATGAGGCTGAACTTGAAAAACTCTTATATAAAAAAGTCCCAAACCCAAAAATTTCAAACTCGAAAAGATAAGAACTTGGAGAAGCACGGAATTGAAAAGTATATATCTTAAACTCTAAATCCTAAACTTGAAATAAACTTAATTAAAAAATATGAACCCACCCAAATTGGCCTAATTATCACATATAATTATAGTATTAGATTCAACAAATTATAAATTTTAATGAAAAGATTAATACAAATATAAATTTAATGACTATCAATATAGTTTACACTAAAATGAATATCTTAAATTTAACCCGACGACTAATTTTCAATCCTTTCATTTTTAACATTATTTTGGTTTTAATAGAATTTAATACAATTTATACCTATGATACTTAATTCTTTAATCATTTATTAATTTTTCATTAAGCTAACTTTATTAACTTTTTAGTTTCATGCACGAATCAAGCGACCTTGGTGATAAAGAAATTGTTGTTCCTTGAAATCCCAGGTTCGAGCATCATGGATGCCTAGGGTGTGAGCGTTCAATGCCAAATGGTTGAGAGTTATCTTTGAACAGATACTACCTTGTACTTACCGTTTGCGTTTTGTGAGTATTAAATATGGACGAGAAATATGTGCAAGTATACACAATCAAACACGTAATACAATGATGAGTGAGTATTGTCTCCACATGGATTGGTGGAAATTTATAAGTTCAATCAAAGAAAAGAACCACTTTATCTAAGTATAGTTAGTGTGATGGTAAGACTAATAAGAATGCTAAGGCAATGTGAAATGTATATTGGTGGGGATGGAATGATAGTGTGATGTGGCAGCAAATGGAGGTGTCGTGGCAAAAAGGATGGAAATGTCGTACCAAAATAAATTGCGTGTAGTGAAATCAAATAAAAATAAAAAAGCAAAACAAAATGTAAACACTGGATTTGAATAAAATGACTTGATAATCCTCACACAACAAGCTACTACTAGAATGAATGATAGGATTTGATAATCCTCACACAACAAGCTACTACGAGAATGAATGATAGGATTCACTTAGGAAACTTAAGCCTATCTTCTCATGATGGTCTTACTTCTGTGTCTTACTTGCTCGACAGAGTTTACTAAGGGTGCCCTATGCTATCTCTAATCAAGGGACTCGACAGGTTGAGAATGTCATGGCAATACCTCTTGGCGTTAGTTGTTGCATGGATCCCATCAGTTTAAATCAACAGAACATGTCACGACAATGCCACACAACGTTAGAACTAGCATCTAACCTCTTGACCGAGCACTACTCCTTTTAGTCAATTGAAATCCTAGCCTTATGTCTAAAGGTGGATTAGGTCTAGTTACTATCTAAAACCCATTGCTTATGTTAATCCTCCTTAGTTTCTCCCGAACACTAAAGATGAGTTACTTAGTTTCTTTCGAACACAAAGTAGTCTCCTAAGGAATGGTTACTCTCATAGCTCTTAGAACCTTAAGTCATTAAGCACCATAAGCAAAACAAATAAAAATGTAAAGAAAAATAACCATCCATTAAAGAAAAACTTAAGAATCCATAATGAAATCCCACTAAATAAAGCTAGTTAATGGTGGGGTTCGAATATTCCATGAAACAAAGAATAAAATTCATTTGTTTCATACAACCAAAATATGATAAGTGATAAGAAAAAAATAGTAAAGGGATGGAGGAAAAGCCTTCGATGCCTGCAGTCAGAGCTTCCCTTGGCCACCACGAACTGCCTTAGCTTGCTAGCTCCTCTCGGACGCCTAGCTCGCCACTTCTTCAGGCTTGCTAATGGAGAAACACCATGGAAAAGATTAAGAGAATAAAAAAAGGAAGTTTTTTCTTCCAGCATCCTCTCCTCTATTTGCTCAGAAATTTAAGCTCAAAGATCTAAAAATCAAGTCTCTCAAATTTGGTGACCTCATTTCCTATTTATAATGGGGAATAAACCTAGGGATTTGTGTCAAAATTCCCATGATACCCCAAGGCTCATTCCCTTCACGTGAGGGGTGGTACAAAGGTGCTAGTGGTCCCTCCTAGGTGGCTGGCACCAGAGAGCATGTTCAGACAAGGACAGTTGGCTTTTTTATAAAAATATATTATTTTGTCTTTTCTTCTATATAAATGCTGTACGAGTTGTCGCGACATTCGTATTCTGCTCAACATTCCCAATTTGTCACGACAATTCTTCTCATGCATCCTTGCTCCAAAATCCTGCACATCATCAAACAAAGCACCTTCCTCATAATGCAACAATGTTTTCAAAATAAAATGCCACGAAAAAATATATTTCCACCACATGCAACTATATGCTCCTAAATACATCTATATGATCCTATATGAGC